GCCTCATGATTTTCAGCACCATTCTTGGCTGCATGATCTCAAACCTAGTCTGCCAGTCCATGTGATGATTCTACAAGTTTTTCAATACCTTGTCAATCAATCCCCTTTCTGCTCACATCTGCTAGAGTTGGTCAGTAACCCATAGTCAAAATACTTTTCAACAATAAGAATTCACCAAGATGGTGGGTTTTGCCATCAAATAAGTTTAACTCAGACTCAACATAAGGCACGAACCTCATCTAATAAGAATCAGAATTTTCCAATGCCCTTGTTTCTAAAGATGCTTCTGGTGGGGGCTGAATCAGGCTCCTTGGAATGTTTGCTGTCTCTTGTCACAGGGACACGTGCCATCTGCTAGTTGAAGCTCTGGTATTTTGGGAGGATACCAGCAACCAAAATTAAACAGGACTTTAATTAAATTTAATACAAAGTTAAATTATATTCAAAAAGCAGCAGTACTTCATTTATCCAGAGGCAGGTTACACAGCAATCTCAGTTATTTGGAACACTGTCAGGAACCAAGAAAGAGGCAAAAATAAACAAAAACCAAAAAACAGGTAAGGAAACCACCAACCACTCTGAAAACAAATAAACAAAAAAGACCACTCACAGTTAAAATAAATGTCACAGGATTCATCCCCTACAGTTTACATACTTACTCACCCAAGCCATGCAGTCCCTTCTCCAGAGTCCCTTCCTCTTTGTGCAGACACAATTCAAGGGAAAATCTGGGTGAAGAATTTCCCAGTCCACAGAAGATTTGAGAGGACCTTACAAGGGGAGGGGGGGAAAGCTGCTGGAGCCTTGACACTCTGATAGGAATGACAGATGGCTGTTATTTTGTGTTTAAGGCAGAGACACACCTGTAAAAGTAGACAGGAGAGGACAGGATGGCCCCTGAACCCATTCAGTATAACAGGAACAGCTTTGTGTTACAGTCCAGTATAGGTATGGGGTGGGGGGTAGTGGGTGCAATGGATTGACTGTTTGTGTCCCCTCAAAATTCACATACTAAATCTTAACCCCCAAGGCGATGGTATTAGGAGGTGATCGGGTCATGAGGGCAGAGCCCTCAAGAATGAGATTAATGCCCTTATGAGAGAGGCTCCAGGGAGATCCCTGACACTTCCACCATGTGAAGCTACGATGAGGGGGTCTGCAACCAGGAAGAAGGCCCTCACCCAACCATGTGAGCGCCCTGATCTTGGACTTCCGGTCTCCAGCACAAAGAAGCAACTTTCTGTTGTTTATAAACCATTCAGTCAGTGGCATTTTGTTATGCAACTTGAATGGACTGACACAGCGCGATTCATGAAAATACTGGGCATTATGAAAAGTCAGGGAAAATTACAAAGTGGGCCAGTATCCAGTGTTGGTGAACATGTGGAGCAACAGGAATTCCCCCACTGCTGGTGGGAGAATGACCACTTTGGAAATTGGTTTGGCGGCACCTTGCAAAGCCAAGCATAGGCAGAACCCTTGACTCAGCAGTTCTCCTGAGTAGGTATAGAGAGAACCTTGGCACACAGTCGTGGGAGACACATGCCAGAAAATTCAAGGCAGTATTGTCTGTAATAGTATTCAAAATCCCTCACATGCCCATCAAACAGTAGAGTGAGTAAATGCATTATGGCATTGTCTGAAATGGAATATTATACAGCAGAAAACACAAACAAACTGCAGATGGTGATGTGGATCAATCTAAAAAACACAATGTTCAACAAAAGAAATAACCACGAGATAATACATAAGTAGGGTTCAATTAATATGAAGTTCAAGCACAGGCAAAATCGATTATATTGTTTGAGGCACATTCATATGTGATAAAACAATAAAGAAAAGCAAGGACATGATCAACACATCACTTGGTGTAGTGGTTACTCTGATGGGGAAAGAGGAAGCCCTAACAGTAATGTATTCTTTTTCTTATCATGATGGGTCCATTGGTATTCACTCAATTTAAACTCTTTAAACTGTACACGTGTGCTTTATTCATGTATGTGATATATTTCACCAATTTTTTTTTTTAAAGAAGCAAGAAAAAAAGCAAGAGTTAGGTTCTGTCCAATTTGTTCTGTTGAAGAAGCTAAGATAGCATTTACTAATATTAGAAACATTTCCACCAATAACTATTAAAAGAAAAACAGTTTGAGGCCTTTGGAGGGCTACGTTTCAGTGATCTGGAAAGTTCATTTATGCATGACAACTGATCGGCTTCTTTTCCATACAATGAGACACTATGGTAATGACCTGGAGTCCCCTCTCTTTTCAAATGACTTTCTGATTTCCTATTGGCTGAGAAAGAAAAGAGAGGACAGCCTTAGTGGGGCCTCTTTAGTGGAACAAACGCCCTTCACCAACCTACTGTAAGGTTGCATTTTGGCCTCCATCCCTCTGGCCACCTCCCCATGGCGTCACCTGAGAGCTTGTTACAAATACAGAATCTCAGGCCCCACCCTAGACCTACTGAAGCAGAATCTTCACATGAACAAGATCCCCAGGGGCTCCAAATGCATGTTGAAGTATGAGAAGCACTGTTCAGGTCAAGACCATGACCAGGAACCAGATACTCATCTCTTCATAATTTTAGGAAAGCCTGCTCTTTAAACAGTCCCAGCATGGACCCTTCCTGTACTGAACTCCATGCTGAAGTAAATAGTGTTCAGAAAAATTAGAATTCATTCATTCCATTAATATTAGGATGAGCCATATGAAATTGCTATTCAAAAATGGGTGAATATTGTCAGTTTGATATGGTCTAGCTCTTAATAATCATTGAATTCCTATTTTGTGCCAGGCACAAAGCTAGGTATTGGGGAAATGTTAATCGAGTTCATTCATCATCAGTTTAGTTGCTTAGTTGTGTCCGACTCTCTGTGATCCCAAGGACCGCAGCACTCCAGGCTTCCCTGTCCATCACCAACTCCTGCAGCTTGCTCAAACTCATGTCCATCGAGTCAGTGATGCCATCCAACCATCTCATCCTCTGTCGTCCCCTTCTCCTCCTGCCTTCAATCTTTGCCAGCATCAGGGTCTTTTTTAATGACTCAGTTCTTTGCATCAGGTGGAAATATGAATATATTCTGGCAAAACTAGCCTTGGTCGCTGCCCTCATAGGGCTTACAGTCCACTGGGAGAGGTGGTCTTTAATGTAAAAGCAATCCACTTGAATAGATGGAAAATCATTATTACCTTGTAATCATTACACAGTTGAGGTCCCCGGTGCATGAACTGTCATAAGTTGATGTATTTCAGGGAGTGGGGTGGTCAGAAGAGATCTCTCTGGGGAGGAGTGGCTGGAAGTGAAATCTGAAGTGTGAGGAGTGGATGAAAATGAGGAGCATGCAGACTCAGGGAAGATGATTCCAGGCCTGAGTCACAGCAGGCGCAAAGGCCTTCTGTAAATGATGCAGTGGAAGGTAGAGTCTCCCCTGCCAGCAGGACCCAGCTGGCCAGGGCTAGAGTCTCTCCTCATTTAAATGATCTTGCCAGCAAGGTAGTGGAGTTTGTCCACAGTAGTTCCCTAGGCTTTCGGCCTCCTGCAGCCTCTGTGTTTAAAGAACCTGCCAGTGCTTTCTCTCCCCCGTGGGAAAGGACTGGTGGACCACGCTTTAATGGTCTTGCTAGTCAAATTTACTCACTCACATCTGTGTGGGCTGCTTTTGATCCTTTTTGTTTGAATAACCTTTGGTGGCCTCGGGGAACTTCTTTCAGTTCCCTGAATGCTGGTGATGATCTGTCTTGCTGCCAGGCCTTTGCACATGCTGTTCCCTCTGCCTGGAACACTGCATGGGCAGCCACCCTGCCTCCCTCCACTCCAAATACCTGGCTTACTCCCAGTCATCGTCAGCACCACCCAGGAAGTCTTCTTCACCCCCTCCCCGCCTAAACTTGGTGCTATTCCCACAACGCCCTGCACATAAATGTGTGTCAACGGCTCCTCACCCCCAGCATCAAGTCTGATATGACTCATCAATCCTCTCCAGCACCTAGCTCAGGGCATAGTAGGTGCTCAGAATTCACTTGTTGAATGAATAAATGGAAACATTGTATTTAATCTGATGTACAGCTGTGGCCTGTGGGTTGGCTTCCTCAACTGTCATTTCTGCAGTTCTTTCTCTCTTGCCTGCCTCTATACTAGAGGCTGGTTTGCTTTCCCAGCCTCCCTAGTACATAGAAATGACCATGGGACACAATCATGCCAATAAGATGCCTGATGGGGGTTTCTGGGAATTTTTTCCCTTGTTTGTGAATGGAACTCCCAGCTGGTGCTGGCTCCTTTTTCCTGCCTGGAATTGAGCTGTGATGCTTGGAGCTGCAGCAGCCATATTTTAACTGTGAGGGAAAGGCTAATAGACTCAAAGAGACAGTAGTCTGGAAGTTGCTGAGCCACAGTATCAGAACAGTGGCTACTTGTCTCTAGATTTCTCCTTCTTTGAGGAAAATGAGCGTCTATTTAGTCCATTGTTAGATGGATTTTCTGATAGCTGATAGCATGCCTGATAAAATCTGTCTTGATGGCTGCCAGCAGGGATGTTGGGAGGAGGAAAAACCAGTGGGGAGAACTCTTTCAGCCATCTCAGACCCTGTGGAGGCCTGCTGGGAACAGGACTTCTAAATCAACAAATATGTTTGGAAGGGTGTGGTGCAAGTCCATTTTTGCTGGCTATAAGCAGGGTCTATGGAACAAGAGGGAGCACATGGCTATCCTGAAAATTGAAGGGTGTATATGCTCAAGATGAAACTGAATTCTTTCTAGGCAAGAGATGTGCTTATGTATGCAAAGCAAAGAACAACAAGTAACACCTGGTGGAAAACCTAACAAAACCAGAGTAATCTGGGGAAAGATAACTTGAGCTCACAGAGGCGGTGGCGTGGTTGGTGCCAAATTTTGGGGCAGCCTTCCTGGCTAAGGTCTTTGGACACAGAATCTGCGTGATGCTGTACCCTTCGAGGATTTAAACCTACTGAAAAGTGAATAAATATAAGTGTGGATTTGTAAAACAAAACCACAGTGGGGAGAGTGTACTCTTCATTTTGTCAAAGAAGGAAGTTAACATTTGTTGGGTGCCTGTCAACAAATAACCAGCGACCTGTCCCTGGTTATTACACTAGTTGCGTCACATCTGTGACATTTAACCTCACAGTCCATCCAAGTAGAAGTATCCCCTCATTACAGAGATAAGGCAATGAAGGCTCAAGACCCATGAATCACCTCAGTTGACAGTGGTAGGTCTGGGGTGGGGCCAGGCTCTCTCTGCTTCATCCTGCTGCTGCCCTGAAGAGACGGGTGATGGCCTTAACAAAGTCAGGCAGGTGTTACGGGGACTGGGGGTACCTGGGGGTTTGTCTCAAACCTCGACCTCCGCTCCAGTCAAATAGAATTCTTCTAGCTCAACATCCTCTGTGTCCAGCAGCATCCCTAGCTTTATAAATGTCAGTCCATTTATGGTAGAGATGGTCATACCTCACTAGTTTTAAGTCACTGCCACTGCCCCTGCCAGAAACAGGTCCTTTGTGCACAGCTCCAGTGTTGTCCTCGGCAGGCCTTGGGTCTTGGAGGTCCTCAGTGCCTGGGCAGGTGGTCCTTACTGCTTCCCCTTCTCTGTCTTCACAAGTACCTCTTCTTTCTCCTCTGCTCTAAGGACCTCATGCTTTCCCAGTCGCTCCTCCTGAGAAAAACAAACTTATAAGCATAACGGCATCAAAATGTTGTCTATTTAACTTGTTCCTTCTTTCAGGCCCCCCTTCCCCTCATTGCCTGTCCCTGGTAGCTGGACACAGTGTTACTAATAAACACCCCAGCCCAGGCTTAGACTGTCAGGACTGAACCTGGGCTTTGGCTGGGCTTCACAGCAATCTCCTTGTCTGGTTCTTCGTCAGAGCTTGAGACATTGTGCCAGGCTCTGTACTAATAGCCATATGAATTCAAATTATGACTCCATTTTACAGACCCAGGAACTGAGGCTCCTACCCAAGGTCATATAGGGAGGACTCAAATTCAAACCTGTTGGACATTAAAACCTAACTGTAGTCTTCTTGGTAAGGGTGTTTCTCACCCTTCTTGGTAAGGGTGTCCCTTAGCCATCTCCTTCCTACCTCCCACCACAGCTCTCAGGGAACTTGAAGATTCCTCATTAAGAGATTTATTCCTTAAGCCTGAAAGCATTTTGATTTTCAATGTGTGCATGCTAAGTCACTTCAATCATGTCCAACTTTTTGCAACCTTAAAGATGGTAGCCCACTAGGCTCCTTTGCCCATAGTCTCCATTAAAATGCAAAGGCCCCTGGAAAGTATAGTCCCCTAAGCCTTTATTTTACAGCACTGGAGTAGGGAGCATTTCATGGACAGTCCTACAGGGGGGACAAGGAAAGGAGGGCCTGGGGATGGGGAGGAGGGGCAGGATCCAAGTGTCTGATTGGCTCAGGGCCCCTTTCCCCTGGGCCTCGGTGAGCCCAAGGTTACCTTCCTTCTTCCCTGAGTCCCAGGGGCCTCAAGGGTGGTCAATTCCAGAGAGCTACTTAGTGAGACCAGTTATGCTGAACAGCCTCATTGCCTTCTAGTAGTCTCTATGGTTTCCAGGAGCCCTGAGCTTGGAGTACTGCATAGAGAGGCAGAGCTGAAGGGCCACACTCTCTCTCCCAACTATGGGACCCAACTTCTGCGGCTCAGAGAGCCAGGGTTCCTGCAAGGTGGGTGTGAGCCTGTGGTGTGTGAACAGGCATGTGGGGAGGGGTTCAAATGCTACCAGCCCACTTGGCTCCTGGGTTGTCATGGCAACCAATCTTGCATTGGTCAGGGTGTTTCTGAAGGCAAGTCTTTCTGGCTGGCAGCGCTGATCCAGGCTGGGCTGAGAGCCCCTGCAGATGAAGGGACCATTGCATTTCTGGCTTTGACACCTCAGGCTTCCAGGACTGAGCCTCAAGAATCAATATTTTTATTTCTGGCTTGGCGCGGAAGTCTCTTCGCTGACCTGCAGAAATTAACCTGCCCCTCAGCATTCTGAGTCAGGACCTGAAGGCAAATGACAAATGTCCCCTGAACTGGGAACATCCCCTGGACTCCTCTTCTCTGTCTCCCTCCCCTTGCTGCTGTGGTACTGGATCCACTGCTCTCTCTTCCTGCATATTTTCTGAAAATAGGAGGCAGGTTATCCTAATAAGGACGGAGGAATAATTCATCACCATGCCAGGCACGGAGATCATACTTTACACGCCTCATTGACCCTCACTACAGTTACAGAAGGTGCAGACGAGGACTCATTTTACACTTGAGGACACTGATGTGGGAGGAGAGTAAGTGGCTTGCCTGTGGTCATAGAGCCAGGCTGTAACAGAGGCTGGATCGGAGCCCAGTTTGTCTGATTGTCAAGCCCGTGCTGGAACCGCTAGCATGTTGCCTCCCAGTCCCAGTCCTGAGATCACACAGCGGGGAAGTATGGCCTACAGTGAGATGTACATACAGTGAGAGTGTTAGTCGCTCAGTCGTGTCCAATTCTTTGTGACCCCATAGACTGTAGCCTGCCAGGTTCCTCTGTCCATGGAATTCTCCAGGAAAGAATACTGGAGTACGTTGCCATTCCCTTCTCTAGGGGATCTTCCTGACCCAGGGATCGAACCCAGGTCTCTCACATTGAGGATAGATTCTTTATATCATCAGGGCCACCAGGGAAGCCCCAGAGCCGCAAAAAATAAAAACGAGGCCCAGGATAGAGGGTCTCTCCCTCTCACTGCCATTGAAAATCATCATGTCTAAGAGTAAAAGGATCCCTCCTAGGATTTAATGATCTAGAAGAAATATCAAACTGACTCCTAAATTAAAAGTTCACATTTTGTTTAAAATAGCAACACAGTGATTTCCAGGCTTTTTAGACTTGTAGTGCTCTGTTGCTTTTGTTTGCTTATTTTATTATCTAAAAATTTTTTTAAATTTTATTTTTAGTTTCCTGCAAAAGCCCTCTTAGAACATCAAATCTGGGAGCTTGGAGGTTGTTTTTTTTTTTTCTTCCTGCATTGGCATCATTCACAAGATGAAAAAGAAGGGAAAAACTATTCATAATTTCCTTTTGTGGAGGGAAGGAAAAAGACATGAGAAATTCATGCAATATGCATACGGCTGGAGAAAAAGGAAAACCTGAGTGAGCCTTGAGCCTTGCCAGGGGATGCATTTACTGTCTCATTGCAGAGTGCTTGCTGAGGTCCCTGGAGAACCCAGCTCTCTGTCCCCAAAGTCTGCGCCCCCTACCTCCACAGTCAATGCTTCTGTCCACTTTATTATTGCAAATATTTCTTTTGTAAAAGGACATTTTCCCAGTGGCTCAGTGGTAAAGAATCTGCCTGCCAATGTAGTAGACGTGGGTTTGATCCCTGGTCCGGGAAGATTCCCTGGAGAAGGAAATGGCAACCCAATCTAGTATTCTTGCCTGGAAAACCCTATGGACAGAAGAGCCTGGTGGGTTACAGTCCATGGGGTGGCAAAAGACTTAGTGAACAACAATAGCAAAAGGACCTTTATCTGTATATGAGATTCAGTTTTAAAATGTTTGCTTTGGAGTCTTCAATGAAACCCTTACGATAACTGGAGATGCCTAAAGATGTTAGCTAAAATAAGTGGAGCAGGTTACCCCATGTGTCTGCTTTGTGAACATTCATCGAGCTGTACTTAATATTTGTGTGCCTCTTTGTTTGTGTGTTATGTATGTTAGTCGCTGAGTCGTGTCCTACTCTTTGTGACCCCATGGACTGTAGCCCGCGAGGCTCCTCTGTCCATGAAATTCTCCATGCAAGAATACTGGAGTGGGTTGTTAGTTCCTGCTCCAGAGTCGTGTGTTACAGTTCAATTAAAAAATCCCTTCAGTATCAGAAAAAGTAAAGAGTGAGGGCTCTGTCTGAATGGTGTGCAAATTAGAACAAGTGTGTGGGCGTCTGTGAGCTCTGGTCTTTGGTAGAGCTGATGGGTTCTAATTTGGGTCCTCACATACAGCTCTCAGGACCCCTATATGGGCTGTGCCAACATCACAGCTTGTGAAGAGCTTTCTCTTAGCAGCCTTCTTCTGGGGGTCCCATGTCTGCCTTTTGGCTTCTGGGGTCTCAAAACGCGGGGTTTGCACAGGGTCGAGCGTAGAGACCTCAGTGCCTGTGTGCATGCAGTTAGGTGGTTTTTATTTGCATAGTGGTTCCAGTATATACTAGCTGTGTGACCCTGGGCGAGTTAGTTTCTTAACTTTTCTGAACCATGTATGTGCATGCTCAGTCGTTCAGTCGTTATCTGACTCTGCGACCCTATGATTATAGCCCACCAGGTTCCTCTGTCCATGGGATTTTCTAGGCAATAATACTGGAGTGGGTCGCCATTTCCTCCTCTAGGGGATCTTCCCAATCCAGGGATCAAACCTTTGTCTCCTGCTTCTCCTGCACTGCAGGCAGATTCTTTACTGCTGAACCACCAGGGAAGCCCCTAGTTTCTTCATTTACAGATGGAGGAGGAGAATACTGTCTGCATTGTAGGACTGCATAAGGAAAGATTAAATAGGATGCTGCATGTGAAGGGCTTAGCCCAGGGCCTGGTGGATAATAAACTAACACCATGTATGGAATCCATACATCCGGGGATGAGGCTCAGGCATCCAGTTTTTGTGTTTTGTGTTTTTTTTAACCCTGCAGGTGATGCCGCTGCACAGTCAAGGTGAAGAATTACACTCTGACACGGCCTCTACCCTCACCTGTTGCACCATAGAAGATCCAAAACGTTACTTCTCTTCACTCCTTTTAGAAACTAGAGCAGAGGGCAGAGGGGCCTGCCCATTGGAAAGGGTGCAGAGATGCCAGAAGAAAGTAATTTCTTTCTCTCTCCTACAGATAGTCACTGACTGTGTGGCAGGTGAGGTATGAGGGAAAGATAGACAGATGGCCAGGAGTGACTCCTGTTCTTCGGGAGCTACCTGCTCACAGAGGAAATTGTCTGATGACACACACTGTCGGTGAAGAGGCACTGAACTCTTGGGCTCTGGTTCCAGCTTTGCCCCATCTGAGTGCCTCTGGGACTCATTTGTTACATCTGTAAAGTGAGGAGGATGGACTGGTTGATTTCTGAGGTCTTTCCATCCCTGACATTCTATGAATCCACACTTTCATCCTTAAAAATGCTATATGATAAAACTCAACAATAAAAAACAAACTTGATTATAGATAGCTGAAAGCTCTGAACAGACACTTCACCAAAGAAGATATACCACAATTAACAAAACAACACCACACATTTATTGTGTGTGTTAGCTGCTCAGTCCTGTCTGATTCTTTGTGACCCCCTGAACTATAGTCCACCAGGCTCCTCTGTCCATGGAAATATCCAGGCAAGAATCCTGGACTGCGTAGCCATTCCCTTCTCCAGGGGATTGTCCCGACCCAGGGATCAAAGATGGGGCTCCTGCATTGCAGGCAGATTGATTACTGTCTGAGCCACCAGGACACACTTAGTAGAATGGCCAAAATCCAAAGTACTGATGAAATCCAATGCAGGTGAGGATGTGGAGAAATAGGAACTCCCATTCATGGCTGGTGGAAATCAAAATGGTACAACTTGGTGATTTCTTACAAAGGTAAAACTACTTTTACTGTATGAGGCAGCGATTGTTCTCCTTGGTATTTACCCAGATGAGCTGAAAACATGTCTGCATAAAACCCTGCAAGGAGGGGGCTTCCCTGGTGGCTCAGTGGTAAAGAATCTGCCTGCCCATGCAGAAGAAAACAATTCGATCCCTGATCTGGGAAGATCCCACAAGCTACAGAACAACTAAGCCCATGCGCCACAACTATTGAACTTGTGCTCCGTAAAGTCCAGATGCCACAATACTGAGCCCAATACTGAGCTGCAACTACTGAAGTCTGCTTGCCCCAGAGCCTGTGCTCCACAATAAGAGAAGGCACCGCAATGAGAAGCCCACACTGCAACTAGAGAGTAACACCTGCTTGACCCAACTAGAGAGAAGCCTGGGCAGCAACAAAGACCCAGCACAGCCAATAAATAAAAAACTAAATACATTTTTTAAAAGCCTGCAAGCAAATGTTTACAGCAGATTTATTCATAATTGCCAAAATTAGGAAGCAACCAAGATGCCCTTCAGGAGGTGGATGGATAAACTGTGGTATATCCAGACATTGGACTGTTATTCAGCATTCAAAAGAAATGACATGAAGGAAACTTAAATGCATATTACTAAGGGAAAGAAACCAGTCTGAAAAGGCTACAGACAGTGTAATTCAACTATATGACATTCTAGAAGAAGCAAAATGATGGATGCAGTTAGCAGATTAGTGGTTTCTGGTGGCTAGTGGGGAGGAAGGAATGAATAGGTGGAGCACAGAGACTTTTTAGGGTAGTGAAATTACTCGGTATGGTACTATAATGAGGGATATATGCCATGAGACATTTGTCTAGATCCATAGAATGTACAACATTAAGGCTGAACCCTAAAGTAAATGATGGACTTTGGGTAAAGATGTGTCAATGAGGGTTCATCAATTACAGTGTACCACTCTCGTGAGGATGTTGATAGTGGAGAAGGCTGCGCTTACATAGGGGACAGGAAGGATATGGGAAATCTCTATACTTTCTGCTCAGTTTTGCTGTAAAACTAAAAATGCTCTAGAAAATAAAGTCTATTAAAAAGAAGAAACAAATAAAACACCATAATGTATATGGTTAAGGGCATGTGCTTTGGAGCCAGACTGTCTGTGTTTGAGTCCTAGCTCTGCCCCCTAACTAGCTGTGATCTATAGCAAATTAGCTGAACATTCTGTGCTTTTATTTCCTCATCTGTAACATGGGGATAATAATAATATGCCTGCTTCATATTTGTGTGTGTGATGATTTAAAGAATTAATAAATTTTAAATCATTTAGCACAGTGATTGGCATACAGTACTCAATTAATATTAGCTACTATTAAAAATGTGAATATTTTTTAAGAGTTGATTTCATTTGTTTGGCTGTTGCCACCACTGACCATAGCAATCCCTTGTACTCAGGAGAGACAATTAGATGTCTGACAGAATGGAACTTCTCTTTATTGTATGTTGGTGTAGAAGGTCTTTTTCAGAGCTAGAGCTTTCAAACCCACACATGCTCTGAGACCCAGAGAAGATGCTTCTTAATAGGCCCAAGCCAATGGATCAGGCAGGGAAAAACAGAAAGGTACCTACATTTCAGATTCCCTGGTGGCTCAGCTAGGAAAGAATCCACCTGCAATGCAGGAGACCTGGGTTCAATCCCTGCTTTGGGAAGATCCCCTGGAGAAGGGAACAGCTACCCACTCCAGTATTTTGGCCTGGAGAATTCCATGGGCTCTACAGTCCATGGGGTCGCAGAGTCTGACTGAATGATTCTCTATTTCAATTTCAATTTCAATTACCTACATTTCATCTGCCCGAGTGACCTGGCAGATCCCCCAGTCTCCATTCTTTCCTTCACCAGCCAAACACTCTTCTGTTTCTGATATCACTCTGGGGAAGAAAGCTCTGTGTTAGAGTAACAAAGATTGGTGTTCAAGCTTGAGGTAATTTTATCATCTTTGACCATCGCAAACACCCTTGAGTACCATGACCTTTGAGAGATTAGTTGAGAACAGCTGATGAACTTTGACATTTTGTCACATACTTTTAATGCATTTAATGTTTATTGGACATTCTCCCCAATAGCTCTATTAGCATAATTGAATTTGGAATTTACACATGTGCATTTGCGCTGCAATTAGGATTGCTTTTTAAAGGACCTAAGAACTTTAAATGATATATATTGCTTTTTGATAGAGAATGAACCAGGTATTAATGTAATTAAGATCAAGTAGTATATACAGTAGTCAGCTTCATCCAAAAAGGGTCACTTAGCCACAGCCTGTAAAGAAACCAAATGAGTGCCCCTAACAGGCAACTCCAGCCACTTTCCCTTCCATGAAGATCCACTTGCATCACCATTTCACTGGTAGTGATAATTGTAGAGGCATCTATCTCATAGGATGTTAAAGTCTGCCAGGGGCTTGCATGAACATTAAATTATTTCCTTTGACCGTCACAACAGCCTTGTTAGAGGAACCTGAGGCTCTCAGAGATGAAGGATCCCACTCAACTTTTTTCAGTTGGTAAGAGGCACCATTTGGACCCAGTTCTTTGGCTTCAAAGCCATGCTTCATCCTTTAAGTTTTAACACTTTCTCCCTTTGCTGGAAGTTGCATGTCTAACTCCCCACCTCTGCCTTCTCAGCTGGTAGAGCTTCTACTTAGCTCTGGTATCCATGCCGCCTCCAAGGAATGAAGCTGATCATAATCAACCTAGCACCCTGGCCTGGGATTGGTCTAGAGATGGGCGTGTGACTAAATCTGGCCAATGAGATGCAAGGGAGTGTCTAAGGAAGCGGTTTTTCTGACCTTAAAAATTGAGTGCAGAAGAAACCATATTCTTCGATTGGTGGGGAGAGCTCTGTCTTTCTGCCAATTTATTTTGATTTGTTTTACTGCTCATGATGTCTTTTAAAGAGCACCTGACTAACTTCCTTTGACTGGGCCTATGGGCCCTGGCTCATCTCTGTTAACACAGAGACTGAGTCTGGGATGTAATGGCACCTGGCTACAGTTCCACACTAGCCCAAGGCAGGGAGCCTTCCCCCAGGGAGAGGGTGCAGCTGTCCCTGCTGGATGAGCCTGGCCAAATGGGGGCATGTGTGCACTTGGGTCCACCAGCTGCTCTTAGAGGAGGCTGGCAGCCAACCCCCTGACCACACGTGGGCTTTACTTTGATGCTTCCATAACAGTGGTGGGGGGGAGGGGTGATGGGCAATGGTGCCTCCTTAAGGGAGCTTTCTCTCTGAGACCATGATTACTAAGCCCTGTGGCTTGGAAAAGCTCTTTCTTCTTTGAGAGGCCAAGTCCCAAATGAGAAACCTCTAAGAACCAGAAACTAAGCTTTTACACATAGACATTAACCCCCTGGGTCTTCCCTGGCAGTCCAGTGGTTAAGACTCGGTGCTCCCAGTGTAGGGGACAGGGGTTCCAACCCTGGTAGAGAGACTAAGATTGCATGGGCAGCATCAGTTCAGTTCAGTCGCTCAGTCATGTCCGACTCTTTGCAACCCTATGGACTACAGGAAGGCATGCTTCCCTGTCCATCTCCAACTCCCAGAGCTTACTCAAACTCACATCCATTGAGTCAGTGATGCCATCCAACCATCTCATCCTTTGTCGTCCCCTTCTCCTCCTGCCCTCAATCTTTCCCAGCATCAGGGTCTTTTCAAATGAGTCAGTTCTTCGCATCAGGTGGCCAAAGTGTGAACTTCAGCTTCACCATCAGTCCTTCCAATGAATATTCAGGATGGACTGGTTGGATCTCCTTGCAGTCCAAGGGACTTTCTGCCAAAAAAAAAAAAAAAAAAAAAAGAATGTGAACCCCTTAGTTCCTAGTACCTTGGCTAGCTTCCGAAATGCGTTTAGTAATCTTACCTGGATATGTAACATTAACAGCATAGAATGATTATATGGTGTTTCTGTTTTCAGAGTGAATCTTCTATTGCTTCCTTCATTATTCTGTGAACCCCTGGAGGAGGGCATGGCAACCAACTCCAGTACTCTTGCCTGGAGTATCTCCATGGACATAGGAGCTTGGTGGGCTACAGTCAATGGGGTTGCAAAGAGATGGACATGACTGAGCGACTAAGCACAGCGCATAGAATGTAAGAAGCTGGAGGTAGGTGAGCCCTGCTCAAAACCAGGTCTCTGGGCTCCCTTCTTGTTGCTGGAGCAACAGACAGTCAGAATGGCCCTGATTTAGGGCGTGGAGATCCCTGAGATCCACATGCCCCACATCCAGCTGGCTTCAACACCCTTGCCTATTTTGCTTCCAGGCAGTCTTCATTGCTGCCAGTGTCTTGTCTTTTTAAGAAAGGTCCAAACTCTTCTCCCACGCAAGCAGCACCCTGAGCCTCTGACCCAAGCTGGGTTCAGACCAAGGCTGGACACCTTGTCAAAGGGGGTTTCAAACTATAGCATCCAAGAACTCCCTTGCTGAGCCCTTACTTGTGCTAACCACTGTCCCAAGTGCTTTGCAGGCAGTAACTCTTTGAATATTTATATATTTAAACTTTTATAATACCCCTATGTGTGTGTGTTAGTTGCTCATTTGTGTCGACTTTTTGCGAACCCATGGATTCTAGCCTGCCAGGCTCCTCTGTCCATGAGATTCTCCAGGCAAGAATACTGCAGTGGGTTGCCAGTTCCTTCTCCAGGGGATCTTCCTGACCCAGGGACTGAACCCAGGTCTCCCACATTGCAGGCAGATTCTTTACCATCTGTGCCAACAGAGAAGCCCCCAATACTCCTATGGGTTGGGTATTATCACACACACACACCCATTTTAATGATGATGGAATCGAGCACAGAGCCGTTAAGTAACTTGCCCAAGGCCACACAGTATGTATCAGAGACGGGACAGTCTGGTTGCAGAGTCTGTGCTCTGTGCCACTGAGCTCTTCTGCCCTGCAAGATGCGCTAACCTTTGAAGATCAGACAAGCAGATGAAAACCGTGTGTGTGGGTGGCCACGGGTGACAACCTGAGACCTCATGATATGAAGAGGTCTGGGAGAGTTAGGGCTGGGCAGAGGAGTCTGAGGAGACCGCCTGGAGCACTGAGACTGTCACCTATGGGAGAAGGGAACAAGCTCCTAGGAAGCTTTTGATAAGACACCTGCTCCTGTGATGTGAGGAAGAGACCTGGGGCACCAAGCTGATTTGGAGAAGAGGCTCTGACCAGGAAGAAAAAGACTGGTTTCTCTGTCTATCTTGTAACACCCCTTCATTCTCCTTTGCACAGTTGTAATTATTTAGTTAATTAGCTAATGACTGATTCATCAAAGAACTGGGCCAGCCTTGTTCACAGTGGTATTGCCACAGTCCTGCACATGGAATCAAATATTTGTTGAGTGAATGAATGAATGAAGGAATGAATGAAGATCCAGCCCTGTGGTCTGAAGGGTACTTTCAGTCAGAGCGCTGGGGAAGGCTCCTGAAGGGGAGGGCACAAAAATAACAAGTTGGCATTTGAGGAAGCATTTGAAAGGAAAGGCAGGCTTTAAAAAGGAGGAAGGAGAGGATTAGGAAGGTATATTTAAGAGAGAGAGAAACACTGGCGGGAGGCGAGGGTAGGGAAATGTGGAGCCTGTGAGCCTGGCCGGTGCTACCAAAGGCGCCTTGTCCGGAGGACTCCTCCGGCTGCAGGGCAAGCGGCCCCCCTCAGAGCCTCATCCTGCGGCCAGCCCCAGATGTGTCCTTCTAACAGCAGTGAGTTCTATTTAATGACTGCATTCCTGGGTTGAATTTCTGTGAGCTTGGCTTGGGGACAGGTATGGAGCTCTCTGGAAGGCACCCTTGGGCCAAGGCAGGGTGGTGTGCTTAGGAAAGCAGGTGGCAAAACCTGGCCTGGATTGCCTGGAGCTGGAAGAGCTTTCCTAGAAGTGAAAAGTCCCATCCCTCGCCCCACACTGGGGCTCACACAACAGCCCAGTCACAGGGCCCCCTCCCCTTGGCTCCTTGCCACACCTCGGTCGGTCTGCCACACCACCAAAACTGTTGAGTGTAAGAGGAAACGCTACCTCCAGCAGAAAACCTCGGGGACGTTTTTTTCCCCCTTCGATAAACATTTGCTGAAATAACTTTTTTATTGGTGGTTGTTTCAAAACACAGAGCATAAAGAGAGGCCCGAGAATTATTCCCATCATAACTTTTGTTCAGCTGGATCTATGTCATCAGTGTGGGCCTCAATTTCCTCATCTATAAAATACAGCCCCTTCCTCACTTAAATATTCCACAAGTGTGTGCTGTATGAGGAGTGACTGATCTTTTATATTCTGCTCAGCATCCGTTTGATGAAAATTCCTTAAGTGCTGGGAGTCCAGGGTGCTTTCGACATTATTGGGGATACAAAAGAAATTATATTCTGACTCATGCCCACTACTTATTTAAGTGGCCGTTAAATGCCAACCTCAAAGTCAGTATATGACAGGTGCTATAGGAGTTTTAGAAATGTAAGATATCCCTGCATCTCAGGTAACCTCAAGCATGCTGGAATGACACTGTGTATATGAAATAAACAGAACACTTTTAGGGACTTACCTGGTGGCCCAGTGATTAAGAATCTACCTTGCAATACAGGGGATGTGGGTTTGATTCCTGGGCAGAGAACTAGGATCCCACATGCTGCGGAGCAACTAAGGCTGCAACTACTAACCCTGCAAGCCACAACCAGAGAGTCTGTGTGTCTCAGTGAAAGATCTGATATGATGCAACTAAGGCCCAACACAGCCAAATAAACAAAAAAATTTTTAAAAGAGAGAATAATTTAAAATAGCATATGATTACTGATACATGGGTGGGGATATGCTACTCAAGGTTGAAAGAGAGAGAAATCTCTCTAGGTTTGACAAATCTAAAATGGTTACTTAGCAGTAGGGCTTGGGTTGGCTAAAACGTAATGAGGATGGTGGTGAAGATGATAATGACAAATACAGGCAAACTTATTGAACTCCGAGTGTGGAAGGTATTAATAATAAGTATCACACTGAATCCTCACATCAACCTTCTAAAGTAGGCACTACTATTGTCCTCATCTAGCAGACAGGGAAACTGAGGTCCAAAGATTTTATGGAGGAATTTGACCAATCCATAGTAACATTTTGTAGGTATGAAGGGACAGGGATTAAGAAGAAAGGAAAACGTGAAGAAGGGTCTTCCATCTCTCTAGAAGCAGCATTCCTTGGGTGCTAAGTGGAAACATTTTCATAGCATAATGTCAATGCTTTCAGATTAAACTCCTTCTTTTAAAAATGACTTGAGGCCTCTAGAGTCTATATCCCTATATTTATAATGTACTTTTCAGATCTAAACAAGTACAGAGGACTCATCTCAGATCTTCTCTATGTTACATGTGACCATACTGACAACCCACTTTGGCTTCCATGGCAGTGGGGAACCCACTCCTGTGTCAAGGGAGACGAGATCTGGGGAAACTTGAGGTTCTGTGTTTCTGGGGGTACTCTTTGTTGGCTAACTTCTTTGCCTACTCTTATAGCCCCAGTTTGTTAATTATCATCATCTCCTAAGACTGAGTCCTAGGCCAGCTTCTGTTTACTCATTCATTAACTCAAAATTTGTTAATCACCTACTATCTGAAATTCAATATTTCTAAAGACCATCTTTAAAGGAGTTTGGTGATTCTACCTACAGTCCTGGTGTCAACTTCAGGGAGC